ATCCTGTAATGAAAGTATGGGGGAATAATATATACCGTATTTAAATACAGATATGGAGTTCACACACTGTAAACGAGTGTGCATTCAACAATATCAATACGAGTATAAAAAAAACATATATAAGAGTTCTTGTTTCAAATACATGTACACCCTACCATTAGACCTTTTCAACAATTGTCTACACCCACAGTCGAGAACGACTACGACAGGTTAGATATGAGGGGTCGTCTCAAAAATAAAATTTTAAAAAATATTATTGATCGCATATGATTATTTTGATAGTCAATGAGACAACTATCCAACTTGACATCTATAAAAGCAATTGTTGTGTACCGTACCTTATTTTGTTTATTAAGTATCTGCTTATCAAAATCAAACTTATTTGGGAATTGACTATGAAGAAAAGGAAGGACTTCAATGTTTCATTTCTTTAGACGTCGAGTTGGAAAATGAAAAATAAAAAACAAACAAAAAAACAAACCTGTATTTTTGTAGTAGATGTTTAATCAATCAATGTTTTATGTCTGTTGACAAGGGCGGTACATGTTTCTACAATGTCTGTTAATTTTGGCTTCGGATGCCTCAATGGTACTCATTACTTTATTTCTTTTTAATTCACCAATTTGATGTTCAACTTGAAATCGATATTTAGCGACAATGCAATTTAAATTTCGACTATTTCTCTTGAAATTATCCGGTTTACTGTGACCTGCTACCCGACAACCAGATGCCGTAGCTGACCAGAGAGAGGAGGAAGCTGATGAATTGCCTCGCCCTAATGTTGTACGACCAAAACAAACTTGAAGCAAAATACGCCCGCAAATGAACCTCATTCGCGAGAATCAGCTGGAGTACAATAAATTCATAACAAAATAGAAACCAAGAATTTTAAAGGCCCTTGGTGTCTCTTCAGATTCAGGTTTAAATGCAAGGTTTTTTTTTTAGTTCTCTTGCTATTTTTATGACTTCCGCAGTAGGAAAAAAAATCACACAATGCAACATATAAAACAGACATCCAGAGAAACCGCATGGTCTGCATTTTGGTAAAAAGACCCCCATCCGAAACCCCAAAAAAGGGGAAAAAAAAACAAAGTTACTATCTTTGATCGAATAAAAAGGAAATAAATATGAGAATGAAGCATAATGTCAAAATATCAAATTGTAAACTTAAAATTCTATTGTGACAAAAACTTTCCAATTGCAATGACCAACTTGTTCAGGAATTGTTTCAGGCGCATAAAACATGCGGCGGGGTTTTACTAGTATAATTGGATCCAAAACCTCCCCTATGTATGATCAGAGATGAAATTTAAAAACCATTATGCATGGAAAAAAGTGTAAAGAGTAGAAAACCAAAGCTATGTCCTGAAAGGAGGAAGGGTAAGCAGTTCTCGCTTCTTGCAAGACACACGAAGGTCATTTTTCGGGAACAGGGAAAGGAATCTACAACAAAGAGACAAGGTATATTGACAATCTATAACGGTCAATCAGTTCGGCACTGTCCAAAAGACACTGCAATGACAACAAGCTCTGTTGAGATATAAATACCACACGCATCACTGACGAGACATTAATTGTCAAAATGCGCATGTGGCGCAGAAAAAAAAGTAGTGCCTTTAATGTTTCCAGTTCATTAAGGAAACATGTCAACTTTAACATGGTATCTTAAAGCGGAGTAGTCCCTCGTAACTAAATTATCGATGCGGCCTTTTCCTTTAAACCAATAGGCTTTTACCCCTCCCAAAATTGAATGTGTACAACAAGTGACGTGAAGATCGGTTGAGAAACACAAACTCTAGCAGACGGACGGCAGTCCTGTTACAATGTTCCTTCCGCAAATTTCATAAATAGGATTACAAAAACAAATTAATCGCTATTGGCATGTGGAACAATCTGCATTGACAGACTCGCTTATCTAAATACTCACATAATCATAAAATTTAAGAAAAAAAAGGCAGATTACGATGTGAAATGGTTGCAGTAATTATTTACTTGAAGGTTTAATAAATTCGACGTAAAATGTCGTATAAATACATGTAATTATAATGTTATACAAAAGAGAGAGATATAATTCATATTTGTTTGAAATATGTTCTTTCGTCAAAATAGTGTAAAACGATAAATCGACGGTGTAAACATAATACTATTCATGAATGATTTTTAATTTTGAGACGACCAATTCATTTTACCTGTAACTGTAGGTGTCATTAGTCGGTGTCGAGAGTTGTTGAAAAGGTCTAATAGGAATATGTTCATTTTCCCAGAAAATATTGAAATTGAAAAAACGAAACACTTGGACATATAATTTTAGGATTACATATAAAAATGTGATTTCATGAATTCTGTAAATTTGGTTTCATAATTACTTTTATTTTTGTATGGCTCTCTAAATTAACTGAAGATTAACTTTTAAAACTATAATACATAAAGAAGTTAGTTTTTCTATTGTTTCCGAATCACTAATTATCTCCCTGCTACTCGAAAGAGAAACATATTAAGCAAAACATCAGTTAGGTAGACTATGAACAGTTAGTCGCCTGGATTGAAAGGCGGGAAGTTGGACTGCCATTTGGATTCACATGGACGGCAACTTAAAATCAAAGAAAGCCAATGTTGTGTTTTTGTGTACTGTTGTTTGTCTGTTTGTCTGTTTCTTTTTTAGCCATGGAGTTGTCAGTTTATTTTCAACTTATGAGGTTTAATGTCCCTTTGGTATCTTTCGCCTCTCTTTCGTAAACATTAATTTTATTTGTGAACTGTAATCAATAAATTTGCAAATTTAAACTCAATTATATTAAGTGGTCAAGGAAAAAACTTGTTTATTCCTATAACTCAAACTCAATAAAAATTAACAATCCTACCATCTACTCTGAAAGATGTCGTAAGAATGACAATAATTAAACAAACATGAAATTGTTTTAAACCATAATTGTCATGAAGGCAGACTAGAAAACTGGTCATTAAATGAACACTTGTTTCTTTAAGATCTTGTTAAAGGCTCTTCATGGCGATTACTTAGTTTGGATGAGGCGTTGCTATGGACAACTTAAAGCTGCTGAGGATTACGTTCTTCCTCCAGTAACCATAATCATCCAGACGATATTCGTAGTGGCAGATGTCTTGTGAAGCTACCACGACTGAATGTCAGCCTGGCTTGTTGTTACAGCTAGACATAAAGTAGGTTTGTTTCTACAGAGACGAGTTGTTGACGAATTCTAATTAAAAACGAAATTGAAGAGATTTGAAAACAAAAAGTTGCTCCAACTCTGGACAAAAGACTTATATGCCTAGGGTTAGAAAACCTTTAGTGCTTTAAATAAATCAAGAATTTTAATCATTAAGTTTACACAACAGTGACCGTATCAATGACATTTTTGTGTCAACGCACGACTGATGACTACTGGGATTTGGAATGTTTTGCAAATACGACGTTGAAAAGGTTTTAAAACCAAAAATTCCAAAACAATATGTCAAAACTGGTTAAGCTACCTATGTCTGTTGGTAAAACATACAAATATTTCAAATAATTCAATATTTGTTAAAAAGTTAATTTACAAAATAACGACCGTATCAATGACATTTCATGTCTATACAAGAGTGGTGACTACCAGGAATTGGAAGGTATTAAAGAGCTTTAAAAAACTAAAATTTCAAAAGGTTAATTAAAATCTGGTTTATGCAACATGCGGTTGGGGTAGAAAAAGCTTAAAGGTTCGAATGATTTAAAATTTGCTAACAAAAATTTACCGAAAATAAAAGTATCATTGCATACGATACTTCATGTGAACACAAGAGTGCTCTATAACGAATAATATGGTTCAAATTAAGGGTATTAAAAGTGACATCATTAGAAATTAAATAGATCAAATGGAAAATTGTGAGTATATTTACGGGTTTGTACTTACATGAGCAACAAGACGGGTGCCACAGGTGGAGTAGGATCTGCTTACCCTTCCGAAGCACCTAACATCATCCCCGGTTTATGGTGGGTTTCGTGTTGCTCAGTCTTTGGTTTTCTTTCTTGTGTTTTTTGTACTGTTTGTCTTTTCGTCGTTTTTCGTTTTTTGTCATGGCTGTTTTTTTTTACATACGTTCTAAATTGGAGTGGGTTAAATGGTGGTCTGACACTTATTAACAAAAGAAAACCACAGACAAGGTTCTCGACTTTGATTGATTGATTGATTGATTGTTGGTTGCTGAACGTCCAGTGGCAAATATTTCATGCATATTCAGGACGACTTCTCGACTTTGAAAAGAAGTGTTTAAACTTTTTTTATATCATAGAACACCCCCTTTAGTCTCGATTAGTTGAATAAAAAATTCGTTTGTGGAATACGCTTAGTTACCTCTATGATAACTAATTTTAAGAAGCTGGTCAAGTTTATAAGATACAAATGTATATTACAGATCAACATAACTGAAATCTCGAATTAATATAAAAAGTTCAATTGTAATTGAAATAAAAACTTAATATTTCAACTGTCATTAATCTTGTTCAAATAAAACCATTCGGATTTGTTAAACTTTTTCCGTCAAAGTTTTTCAATGGTGTCTTCTTAGACTGCCTATTCTTATAATTAAATGTAGAAGAATAAGTAAGTGAGGTTTTTTTACAACATATAATTAACGGATTTAAAAGTCTTGCTGCGGTAGCAGCTCACTTCATAAACACAAAAGTTAACACCCTTTATTTTTAGTTTTGAAATATAGCTATAATTTATTTCCTGTAAAAAAATAAATGTTAACTTATTCAGCTTGAATAAATCCTTTCATACAGTAGTCAACATTTTGCTAAGTAGGGATTTGTCATTTCGTTTTATTTGAAGAAATCTTAAAGATCATAGTTTACACAATAAAGGCAACAACACTCTTTACTGTTCATCCATCATAATTTTTCAGTCAACAAACAAACTTCTGAAAAACAGATAAACACTTACATTCTCCATCACATTTATAAGTAAGGCGCTTTGTATTAAATCAATAAATAAAAAGAGCTTAAAGCTTTCTTATTCACTTTTACTACTGAAAATAATATCAAGACATTAAACGTTAATACATATTGATTGTCGATATCACCATTATCCAAAATACATAATAAAAATATTATAAACATGATATAAAAAAATAAGGATTTAATGTGGAATTATTGACAATCAAAACAACTGTCAAACAAATGTCGGTTAAAATCATGGAAAAATATTATTCCTGAGAAATATATGAAATCTTTCCTCTTTAATGCCCTAATGCACATTGTATGATATGCATCTTTTATCTCTTAGGTCTATGTAATGTTATATATTTATCTAGATTGATCTTATTTTCTATACCAAAACGTAATTCATTTTGTTTAAATTATTTTGATAACCAAAACAAATTAAGATATCAGGCTTATGATTTTGTATGCCAAATGCGCGATTTGTCTACAAAAAACTCATCAGTGACGCTCAAATCAAAACAGTTAAAAGGCCAAACAAAGTATGAAGTTAAAGATCATCCAGGAACAGTTAAGGTTATTTATTATTGAGGTAGAAAATCCTTAGTATCCTTAGTATCATCTGTAGTGCCCTAATGCACATTGTATATAATGCATCTTTTATCCCAATTAGGTCTATGTCATGTTTTTTATATTTAGTTTTTATCTTATTTTCTATACCAAAACGTAATTCATTTTATGTTAATTATTCATATACAAAAAAACATTTAAAATCTTTATTCGACCTGTGTGAAATCGAAGAAACATGTAAGCTTCAACGTCATCAATAGTTCGATTACATTTGTTATCTACAGAAAAAGTAAAAATATCTGAAATACAATCACAACGATTGAAGAAGGAACTGATGCAAGTATTTTCACCTAAAACATGATATTAATTTTTTGTTACATATTACTAGTTTGAAATAAGAAATACAGAGTTTGGGTTTTTAGTTTAAACATATTTTATTTGCAAAAGTAGCAAAAGGGATTGGACACAAGTTATAACAACATTATTGAAGTCCTCTTCCTAGAGCTTAGGTAAAACAATACATAGTCAATTACCGATATTTTGAAGAAATTATTTATGTCAAAAGGCCACAACTTCCGCAAAAATCGTCAACCGAAAAGAACTGTTACTTCAATGTTATGACTTAATACCAAATATATAATCAAAAGAATTAAACATAACGGATACTTTTCAAAACAGACTGACGGACGGATAGACGGAGTGCAAACCTATAGGCCCCTTCGACTTCCCAGGTAAGGGACTAATAAACATTTATGTAAATATAAGTGTCATGACATAAAATTATAATAAGTGGAAAGTTAACTGATTGTGTTGTACGGTTGAATACAACTATAACGAAATAAGCATCATATAAGCATGTGGTAGTTTCTCAATAAAGATTTTTTTACATTTAAAACGATTAACAAAATGATTAAGAGGTTAAACAATACTTACAAAAAAATACTATACATACAAATATTACTTCTCAAAATAAAATTACTTAAACATGATTTTTAAAAGACTGCTTCATGGGGATTAATGCCACTGTTCGTAAAGATTCATTATGAATCAGATTTAAATCAAAAACCCATGATACAAAATAAAAAACGGTATTTCTTTCATAATAGTTTAAGTTATAATTACTAATGCCCTGTATTGTATAAAAACAAAAGGTGAAGCACTGTTAATAACAAAAGATAAAACAGTTGGATTTCATGTTTCTGACTGATGAATTATATCAAAGTATACTGATGTCTTGATCGTAATGTATATACATCTAAAGGATTTAAAGAACTAGCATACACATGACGATTGGCAATACTCGTAACAGAAAAAAAAGGGGATAAGTAATCTGAAGAAAAACTTTAAAATAATAACCTATATAATGAAGGAAAGGTGCTTTTGTTGCTGTTCCTTGCCTTTAAATTTTTTTTTATTATCAAACTTAACATTTTCGAAACTTCAACTATTATCAATTTGTTTTGTATTCCCTGGTTTGCCATTGGGTAGCTTTAATAAGTTCTCGTTCAGAAAAAAGTCTTTATAAAAATATATTTTCAACATTTTCCACATGATATACATTCACAAATTTTGTACAATGTTGTTGGCATGTTTAACTTGGATACAGTTCAATCTGTCATTGAATACACTGATTATGATTTCTAAGAATACCAAAATGAAAATAGAAATTAACAATACAGTAACATCGCAAATCATGTTACTCATATAATCAGCAACCTTAGAAAACTAATTAAATATAATTGTGCTACAGTAAACAAATATCGTTGATGCATATATACAGCTGCCAGTGTATAAAACAATAATCATGTAAAACATTGATGTAATAATATACCACCATCCTCATCAAAGTCTGTTATTTGTATAACGTGACAGTAATACAGATGTCAAATAAGATTTTATATAATTAAACGTTGGCAAGAGAAAGTTACATCAAGTATCATTCAAACGATTTTGTTTGATAAGTAATTTCCAATTTTAAGCTGTTTAGGTCATAGCTCTGAAATGAAGCATATGTAAGATGGATATTGTATACACTATGAACCGCCGCGCAGGATTAACTTGCCCCATTCTTAAGTCTTTTCTGTTTTAATATAAATTACAAATATAGAAGCTTAAGCGATCGCATCTTTACAAAAGACACACTAAACTTCATAAATCAATAAATCCTATATCTTATGCAATTGGTCCAAAGTCTCGTATTTCACAAGGAGAACAAGGAATTGAAAACGATCATTACTCGACAATAAGCTGTAAAGACTATTAGCATGGCTGTATTTTAGGTCATCAAAATGAAATAAGGTATAATTGCCCGTACGGGTGTTGTTGCTTTAAAGAAGATTTTTAAAACATCACAGTAATGCATGGTTTCGAATAAAAGATGATACGTCAGTTACACATAAATACCATACAGCATGATTAATATTCATAAATCAAATCAAATCCAATCGTATAAAACAGACTTCTTTTTATCTTATATTTAAGGGACCACATTCTAGATTTAAAGGGATAGTTTATTATTTATGAGCTTAACTATACACACTTTTGTTTAGGAGGAAACTCAATGTAGTAATTAAGACACGCTTAGTAGACAAATGTTGGAATTGGTCCCCTTCCCCACAATTGTTTCGCAAGTAAATAACTGAATGTTTCTAGATCCACTTCTGTCTATTCAGTAAGATAAATACAAACTTATATCTTGTGTTAAATATCGTTACTTTTGTGTTTCAATTTTATAGTCTATATGTATTTATTTCCTTTAGAAAATTAGTTCAGTTTAGCTCCATGGCTTCATTGATTTGCCACAACAAGTTCGAAGTATGAGGTTTTAAATGCAGAAATTTACAGAAAACGCTTCGTCAAACCTTATAATATTAAGCTTGCTCCTTAAATATATAAGTAATTAAGTTTGAGAGATAGGAATGCTTCTTTTCGTGGAGTAAATACTAATTGAAATATGTTAAATAACAACTTTTTTTTCATCTGTGACTACTGCATTCAAATCAAAACAGTGCGGATTTAGTGTGATTTAAATGCTCTCATCGCTAAGACTTTTCGCTTCATGAGTGAAATCCGGATCTTCGTTATTTTCATTTGACTCGCAAGTATTCTCTGGAAGAAATTCACGATTAATATCGACCATTTGTTCACTAATTGCCTTTGACATCTCCGAGCTAGTTTCCGGTGGAATAAAACTAAAGTAAGTTTCCATCATTTCTTTCATGTCCGAATGACTTCGTGGTAGACTATATGAGTCAACTAAAGGAAAAGCCTCTTCATTACTCTCTCTGCTGGTTCCATTATTGTCAGTCTCATTTGGTATAACATGATCAGATTCAGATACTTCAGCAATACTAACATGTTCATTGTTTAAATTTGTCTGAGGATGACTTGTTTCCGAAGATATACATTTTGATACATCTGAAATATAATAATTGCATCATTGAAAACGTATGACACATTTGTTCTTTTAACAGATCATTATTTAGAAACAGTGCATTAACGATCTCTAACAATGTTTCCATAGGGAATAGGTTTTGTTCTATTTTTGGAATGTCAACTTCCATCCATTATGTATGAATATGTCATTTTCCAATTTGTAAATATCTGAATTTCAATCCTTGTATTAATGAATGAAACTTAAATGATTGAATATCCAAAATTGGATGAACATTGAAATAAGAAAAAAATGTCACATATAGAAAAACGTGAATTCAACTTGTTGAAATTTTGAGTGGTTTTTAATAAACCCTTGAGTAGTTCCTAGTTAAATATATTGTCAAAATTAAATTAAAAATTATTTTCTTATTTTGCAGTAAAACAATAACATGGCAATTATTTAATGTAGTTTACCTGAACATGAGCCATATTGCTTTCTGAATACTACGAAGGCACAAATAGATGCAAGCGTTAATAAACCCCCAACACATAACCATGCGATTAGATCTGTCTTTCCATTTTTCAATGAATTCCAATCTTTTGTCGAATCATTGTGATGTAAAGCTTCAATGATCTCTGTAAAAAGATGAAAGAATCCACTAACAAGAAATCATACAAGTTAAGAAAACTACATATCTAAATATAATAGTAACTGTGGTCCCATTCGAAATCATGACATTGATGTCTAATCTATAATCTGAACAAATCATATTCACATACTAGTAAACGTGTATGCAGTATCTCCTTATCGTGAACATTTCAGTTTTATGTTGCACCATTCCGGTAGTATCTGTATATGAAGTCTCACCGCATCCGTGTAAATTAGTGACGATGTGATTGGTATAATACTGTCACGTGGAAACCCCCTATAGATTCGTAAGCATTAAATTTCTTAATTTTATTTCAGACTTTTTTAAACAAGCATGACAGATGTCCATTTTGAAGGAGGAACATCTTAACCCTGAGCACACAACATCACCTTTAGTTTTTCGTAAACCGTTTCGTGTTGCTTTTGCTATCAGTTAAGGTTTTGGCACTTATTGATCTTGAAAAACCATGTTTTCATGTCAAGCATATATTAGGTCAGGCATTTATGGTTGGAGAATTTACATGTACCTATGGTTTATAAATTTGGTAATGTCTTAGGGCAGAACTTTGGAATTGTATGATGCCATATCAGCCATTATGACTTATCAACGGATTTTAACGGGAGCCTATCGATGGGTGTCATCAGTAAGGACAGGAACTTCTCAATCCTTTCGAGCACTTTTGTAAACCCCCAATTTTAAAGGCGGTTGATTTCTTTTATCTTTATTTAAAAGACAGAATATTTCGATAGGATGTGTTTATAGGACCGTTCTGTGTTTTCCTCTATGTTCTATTGGCCATGATGTTAACTGTCTTTTGATTTATTGTTTTAATGCCCTCTTTTGTATCAATAATCTTTTCAGTAATTTTTTATTACAAAAAAAGAAGTCTATTGACACATCCATCATTGTCCTTCAATTTTTGTTATTAACGAATGTATTTCATTTGATGTGTTTTTCTTCATGATTATTCCCTTCACCTACTGATGATAAGTCACATTCGTTGATGGCACACTCGAGGAAGAAAGGATAGGATGTGGCTACGACATGAAGAATATATCCCTTCCGGAAAACTTGAAATCACCCCCGGTTTTTGGAGGGGTTCGTGTTGCTCAGTCTCTAGTTTCTATGTTGTGGTTTGTGTAACGTTGTTTGACTTTTCGTCGTTTTTCGTTTTTTGCTATGGCGTTGTCAGTTTGTTTTCGACTTATGTGTTTGAATGTCCCTTTGGTATCTTTCATCTTTCTTTTGTCATATGTGACACAAATATTACATAACGGTAAACCCATTGATGATGGCGTCCGGGAAACTTTCGAAAGTATGACTTCAACTTTACAATTAAAATTGTTGGTCTAATAACTTCACTGAAAGCAGCAACCCTCTAACAAGAAAATCATGATAGAAAACACAAACCTTGAAATATTGTACCAATGATGATGCTCTAAGATAATACATAGTCATTTTTAATTCGGGCCAAATACTAAAATTATCATTAATTACCTTTACCGACAGAGCATTTCGTCGTTGCTGTTCTACACGGCACACAATGTCGGTCTCTCAGATGACATAAACATTTGGACGGAGAATAACCATAAATGTCTACTGGCGTTACCTGGAATGAAAAAAAAAGAGCAGTAAAAACTTCTAAATGATATTGTATTAATTCGCACTAAGAAGTATAATTGAATGTATTCCTACAATTTAGTGACTTTATGTGTTTAATTGTTAGTTCGGATTTTTACCATTTAAGTAATTGTGACTATTAATAAAATTTCCATGATTTATATTGCATCTATCTTATAATGTATTACAAAAAAATCTCATATAAGTAATAACAATCTTTAAATGTACTGTAAAAGCAAAGAGTTGAACATGTATAAATTAATTTCAGCTGATATGAATTTTAGTTGAAAGGGTAAAAATCGTAGACTGCTGATTGTGCTTTTGGAATACAGTTCAAATGATTGAAAAACCACAATATCAAATACGTGCCACACATGTAATTTCTGACAGAAAGGTTTAATTCATAATAAGACAAGCATTATAAAAAATATTAAAAATGCATTATGGCATTATGATAGCATATCAATAATGACATCAATTTATCTAGATTGGTGAATGAAACTATAGCTTTGCTTACTGACTTTATGTCAAAGAGGAAAGCATTTTTGAAATCTTACTCACTAACACAAACCTATTCATTCTAGTACACAATTACACCGAAACATAGGCAGAAAATTTCAAACTTATTGTCTTAAAGGAAATCAGATGGTATATTTATGGTATATGGGTAGTCTTTCACCAAATTGGATTGTTAAATAGCAGAAAAAAAGTCGGTCTAGATCTTTGATTAAATGTGCACATTTTGAGAGAGGAATGAAATTCATTAGTATAACTTTTCATCTAAATGAAGCAAAATTATGTTTTTCATCTTATTTTTACAAAAACATAATATTTTTTCAACTTCGTCATATAAGGGGAGATAACTCAGATAATGTAACGTTTATTAGGAATGTGTAGTGAATTTACTTATTTTGATTTGAAGCAAGAAAACGAGCCCCGTGACCCTAATTTTTCTTTTTATTTCTTCAGATTACAAGAGCTATCTTATAGAATCTGATCTTAAAATTGTATTGTTTAGTTTTCTTTCTTTCACACAAAATTGGATTATCCATGTAAATCTGACAATTTTGCACAACCTATAGCTTGAAAAAAGCCCCATGACCCAGTCGTTTGATCAAATATGATATAAACTACATTTTGGCAAAATACCAAAAAATTCTATCGATTTTAATTTAGACTTCCATCTACAATAATACTAAAGATTAAATTTTTGAAAACTATCATTCTGCATTGAAAATAATATCTTGGTGTAAATTAGATACATCTATGTGGACTAACGCCCGCAAGGAGTATCTAATATATGAATCGTCGTCCTATCTTGTCTTTTTAACCGGATTTCCAAAGGAAAAATCGGTTATTGATTTGGGGATGTACGGCGGGCGGTCGGGCGGGCGGCTGCCAAACAGTGTCCGTGCATTTACTCATGAACCGTTCAACCAAAGCTTGTTGTTACTGATGACAAAATGGAGGTCAATTTTGATATTTACGATTTTCAATTTCACCGTTCAGGAGTTATGGTTCTTGAAAGATTGAAAAATGGTGGTTCCAGTCGTGTCCGTGCTTTAACTCATGAATCGTTCAACCAAAGCTTTTCAAATTTTAATATGTTGTTACTGATGACAAAATGGAGGTCAAGTTTGATATTGACGATTTTCACTTTCACCGTTCAGGAGTTGTGGTTCTTAAAAGATTGAAAAATGGTGTTTCCAGTCGTGTCCGTGCTTTAACTCATGAACCGTTCAACCAAAGCTTTTCAAATTTTAATATGTTGTTACTGATGACAAAATGGAGGTCAAGTTTGATATTGACGATTTTCACTTTCACCGTTCAGGAGTTGTGTTTCTTGAAAGATTGAAAATTGGTGTTTCCGGTCGTGTCCGTGCTTTAACTCATGGACCGTTCAACCAAAGCTTTTCAAATTTCAATATGTTGTTACGTTACTGATGACAAAATGGAGGTCAAGTTCAATATTGGTGATTGTCACTTTTACCGTTCAGGAGTTATGTTCCTTGTGATATTGAAAAATGCCAGGATACAAATTAATGTTAAAAAATCCGGTTAACTGTCAGCTTTACCGGATTTCCGAAGGAAAACATTGGTTATTGATTTGGGGATGTACGGCCGGCGGGCGGGCAGCTGCAAAACATTGTCCGTTCATTAAAAACGCTTTGACGAAATCTTTTCAAATTAAGATATGTTGTTTCCTGTGACTAAATGAAGGTCAAGTTCGATTTTCACGATTTTAGCTTTTATCGTTGTTGAGTTGTAGACCTTTAAGTAGCGAAAAGTGATACTTAGACCGTTGTCTATGCAATCACTTGAAAACTCTTTGACGAAATCTTATCAAATTTAGATATGTTGTTTCCTGTGACTAAATGAAGGTCAAGTTCGATTTTCACGATTTTAGCTTTTATCGTTGTTGAGTTGTGGACCTTTAAGTAGCGAAAAGTGATACTAAGACCGTTGTCTGTGCAATAACTTGAAAACTCTTTGACGAAAACTTTTCAAATTTAGATATGTTGTTTTCTGTTACTAAATGAAGGTCTAAATCGATTTTCACGATTTTAGCTTTTATCGTTGTTGAGTTGTACACCTTTATGTAGGGAAAAGCGATACTTAGATTGATTTTGGCCTTTCCATTTCTGAACCCTACAAAAATTCAATTATTTGTTTTTATCCTGTTTTGGGGTCCAGATTTGCAAATACTAGTATCATTTTCATGCAGAAAAATTCGGTTTGCTGTCACTTTGACAGCCTCTTGTTCTAGTTTAATTGCCAAAACCTGAACTTTTTGCTGATAAATGATACTTCTATGTAAATAAGGAAGTAGTGTATTAATATTGCTACTGCAGGCAACGTTGTTGGAGACAAGCAATATATTTCTGTACCTGACCTCTACCTGACTTATGGAAGATGTTATACGAGCATCCAGACTTAGATCTGTATATCCGACTTCACTACTAACATTATTTGAAATGTAATTTGACACAATCATTTAACACTTTTTGAATCATTCAGGCTACTTTATTACAATATAAATATATACTTAGATTATCTTAATATATTCATCAACCTATAAACGACATGGGTGTTATTGATTGAATGATTGTTGGTTGCTTAACGTCCAGGCAAATATTACATGCATGTTCAGGGCGATGGGTGTTATTAAAAACAAGTCCGAGATATAAAATACCGTATAAATTAAATCTTTAATACGGCTTGTTTCTACCACGGAAGACATAGATCAATAGACGACAGTAAAGCGTATTGCCTGGGCTCAGGGCTATCAGGATTTTACCCGGTAATTGAACCAGCTTCTCATGTATATACAAAAACTAAAGAAAACAAGATAGGTTGAGATAATTCCATTCCTTCGTTTAAATAACAGTAGATTAAACAATTAAACTGCCACTGGAATTGTTGTAAAATTTCATTCCATTATTTCTATATACTGTCAACCAACTTATTTTCGCGCATATTTTATTTCGCGTTAAGATATTTCCAGCGAACTTCGCGATCTTCTTATTTTCGTGATATATTTTTTATAAAAGGGTTGATCCAAGTTTCACATATTCGCGACGATTTAAATTTGCGTTATTTTTATTCTCGCGAAAGTGGCGGAAATAAATCGCTCGCGAAAATTAGTTGGTTTACAGTATAATGTAATAACTTACCCATACTTCAATAAATTCTACTGATTTCGTAATACTGTAATTCTGTAACAAAAATAGCGATTCAGATAGGTTAAATTCAAGGTGTACGAGTAGAAATTGATGTAGCTCTATTGTTTTGTTGAAAATATGATACCGAAAGATATATACATTGTACTGGTATATATATGTACATATGTGGTATCAAAATCTTTGTTTGCTCACATTTTGATAACTTTTCAGCTGATAAATTTTGTAAAGTTTGATAAAAACTAAACTTCAGGCAAAATCGACCCAACTTTGGTTTTGGTAATTCCTAGATTTATTTTGGTTATAAAGGTCTTCATGTTTTTACATTTTATAAGCTGGACTATCTTTAAGCTCTGGACGTTCCTGGTGAAATATATCCGTACTTAAACAGCAATTGTTGCAATCGTAAACAATTCATCGCTATACAGATGTGACAAGGATTGATTGGGGGCTAGCAATATGACATTGTTGCTTGTACATTGTTGTCTTTGTCTTTTGTTTTTTTTATTATTCCATATCCTCCGTTTGTATATCTCTTACCTAAAGATGAACTCTCAATATGACAAGAGTGCTCGTTTGCGGGTGGTAAAATATTAATATTTTTTTACTCGAACTGACTTTTATCTATAACATCACCTTATGAACTTACCGTAGAAATGTAACCATTGGTGAAAAGATGAAGTTGATCACGATGAATACTGTACATGCTTGAATTAATGTTAATGTTGGCTATATCTAATTGAAAATCATCAAATATGCTTATATCGAATAATGTCATTTTAAAATCATTAGGAGGTATTTCAATGAAAATCTGTATTGAATTTGTCTCTTTTATAAATAAACATTCAATGTACTGGTCCCAGTTTCCAGAAAACAGCCGAAAATGATCTAAAATAAAAATAATCACATAATAATAACAATAATGACTATAATAGATAGAAGACAAAAAAAAGGTATTGTAATCAATCTCTGTGCAAATATCATTCAAATAAAAAATGAAGCATTTTGTTCTAAATCATAAGGCGAACTATGAAAACATTTTAGATTTTGGTGACCCTAAAATGGTTCTGCTTTGGAAGCGTTCTTTTCCACTTAAATCACCTTGCGATGAACTCTAAAATCTCACCCTTTAAAAAAATCAATCAAAATTAAAACACAAAATGGCATAAGCCACAATTATGAGATCGACTGCTGAAACTACACCTTGCGATGAACTCTAAAATCTCACCCTTTGAAAAAAATCAATCAAGATTAAAACACAGAATGGCATAAGCCACAATTATGAGATCGACTGCTGAAACTACACCTTGCGATGAACTCTAAAATCTCACCCTTTAAAAAAATCAATCAAAATTAAAACACAAAATGGCATAAGCCACAATTATGAGAACGACTGCTGAAACTATTTGATTTGCTGTAAAAAGGCTGCTGTAAGCCATATAAAAGATCGATCAACTCGAAACAAATATTTGTATCTATAAAAAAAATTTGCTAAAGGTTTCCAATATTTAATGTTAAGAAAGGAACGATTTGCAGCATAAAACAACCTATCACAATTGAAGTATTATATCTAGAATATTTCTCCTTTTCATTAAAGAAAGTTTCATATGAGTTGCAGAAAATGATTTTTACTTCTTTAATCAGATTTTTCGAAGGACCATTCGATTAAATATGAAAACTTCCGTTTTATTAGATTGTGTGGAAATGTAGTACAGACAGTCGAATATACAAAACTGCCAACCGAATTAAAAGCTCTAAATTTATCTAAAACATCCATAAAGTTTTTTAAACTTCACAAAATAATTAATCCCACTATTTTTACTTATTGAAAAGTCTAATAATATGTTTTATAATAGTAGTCAAGGAACTGGTTGAAAGGACAGAAAGAAACACTTGTGGAACACTTACTAGAAGCCAATATAAACCGATATTTGACGGGGCTTGTTCTTGCTTTTATATATATTCATTTGATAATGAACTGGAAGGTTTATGAACAACACTTAAAAAACAAGAGTGCACACGCTGAAATGTCTCGCCTGCTTTACTGACCATTTATTTCATGTTGAAAGTCTTAAAGATAAAGGTTTTACTTAAAGTTTCACATAAAAATAACATATTTAAAGGTCAATGACAATGAGGTCAAGGTCAGATGTATCCTGTCAGACAGACATATACACCTTACAATTGTTTTTATTTACCAAATATAGTTAATCTTTTGCGTATGGTAATTGAAAAACAGACCAAAACACAAAAACTTAACATTGACCAATGAACCATGAAAATGAGGTCAAGGTCATATAATACCCGCAAGACAGACATGTACACCTTACAATTGTTCCAGACACCAAATATAGCTGAACTATTCCTATAAGTATTTGAAAACCCCCCAAATCACAAAAACTTAACATTGACCAATGAACCATAAAAATGAGGTCAAGGTCAGATGATACCTGCAATACATCTTTTTTTTCACATTTTTAGCTATTATGTCTGTTTGTTTTGTTCACATATTATTGTCAATATAATGGAATTTTATGCGACTGTCATACAAGTGAGAGGTCTAGCTAGCTATTAAACCAGGTTTAATCCACCATTTTCTACACAAGGAAATGCCTGTACCAAGTCAGAAATATGGCAGTTGTTTTCCATTCGTTTAATGTGTTTGAGCTTTTGATTTTGCCATTTGATAAGGGACTTTCCGTTTTGAATTTTCCTTGGAGTTCGGTATTTTTGTTATTTTACTTTTTACAATTATTCCATTCGCCAAATATAGTTGACCTATTGCTTATAGTACTTGAAAAACAGACCAAAACACAAAAACTTAACATTGACCAATGAACTATGAAAATGAGGTCAAGGTCAGATGAAACCTGCCAGACTGACATGTACCCATAACAATCATTCCATACAACACATATAGTTGACCTACTCATTATAGTATTTGAGAAACGGACCTACTCACGTAACTTTAACCTTAATCACTGATCCATGATATGAGGTTGAGGTCAAGTAAACTCTCTCTGGCGGACATGTAGACGTTGCAAGCAACCCATATACCAAATATAGTTATCTTTTTACTCATATTAAGTGAGAAATTCACATGACAAAAAAAATACAATTTTTTTTCAAGCAGTCGCTGAACAATGAAAATGAGGTCAAGGGCAATGGACATATGACAGATGGAAACTTCGTAACATAAGGTATCTGCATAAAAGATATGAAACATCCAGGACTTCTACCCTCTGAAATATAAAGCTTTATACAAATAGTTTGCGCCGCCACCGCCGCCGCCGCCGGATAGTAATACCTATGTCTCCCATACTGAGACGAAACAAAAATACATCTTTCGTGTAAATGTGTATTAGGTAAATTAATTCCTTGAGAAAAACAAGTTCTGGAATGTGCCTCTTTGTTTAAATCCTAACTAGAGCACTAATGACGACTTTACGCTGCCGCACAAACCTTATTGAACCCCGAGGATTTTTTATTTGTCCTGATATTACATGAATAATGCTTTCATCCATGAATATCATTTGAATGGAATGCCTAAATATGAGAGTGATTTTTGGGAAAAACGTAGTGTAAATATCATATGTTCGATCATAATACACAGGCCACCTGGTTGCCAAAACAGTCGCCCTGACATTTGTTTTTAATCTTTGTTCGAAAAAGAGGCCAAAGTTTAAGTTAAACATCTTTTCAAATTTTAATATCAAAACCACCGAAATAAATAAAATCAATGAAGATTACAGATTTTATATGTATATGACTTTTTTGTGACTTTTTCAATGTTTCTGTCGGAGTCCTGAATGGGGCCTGATACCAGAAATGATTTTTTTTGTTTACATATAAACGGCATTAAGACTCATATAAAAGGCGTACCAATTCTCATTAAGAACATGCAAACCAAATATGTTGGTAGACGATTGTTCATGAAATTATATGGTATCTTCTTGAGTTTCACGATTGAAAATAATATTATAAATTCAAACGTCTCCCATACTATGACTTAATACTGCTTTCACGATATCAATACATTTTATTGTCCGCCAATTAATAAGAAATCAATGCACAAGGAGACTGTTTCCTATGGTGTGTAGTTACATAGCTAAGTGAATATGCAAACGAAAATTAATATGACTGAAAGACAATGTCAATTTATTTAAAATTCAGAACTAATATCAAGAAATCATAAATGATGCGATCAATAATCGTCATTGCCAGTTCAACATGAGAATAAGCCAATGTGATTTGCTGTTGTTTTTTATGGCTGTATGAATGATAGAACGACGAAAAGGAAATATTTCAATAAAAACAACGTTTTATTTAAAGTACATACATTCGGTATTAGTTTCTTTATATTAAGGACAGTTTGGAGTATCTTTTTCCTGAATGCAAAATCGTGAAGAATTTAAACAAATAACTAAGAAAAATTCTTCTATATCATTACGGATCTCTTCCAGGGTAATTTCTTATAAAGGCTTGATGTTCTTGTTTGAACGATTATAATACTTTATGATTTTATTATTTAAGGGTTAAAATCTTCTCCTTTTACGATCAATACGAGGTTGAACATAGGTATTTACCATAGTATATTGTGGAGGCATCAATGCCTTGAAAAAAGATTATTTATGAATACCTTGCTCATCTGCTTTTTCAAAGATCTTCCAATCTTTAATAAAATTCACGGTATAACAACTTAATGTTCGTACTTTGAGGTTCTAACAATATTGTGGCTTATTTGTGAATATGTAACCAAATTGTAAATGCCTTAAATTTGCTCTAAACTGCAATTCTACATGTTCTATGATAAAATAAAGTTAGATTGGGTTCTCCTCTTTAAGTAATGAAAAATGAAAACAACGGTTTATAAATTACATGTGTCCGATGCACTTTTCTGTATTTACTTTCACATCTACCCTCACCTTGTGACATAAATATGTTTCCCTTAAATTTTGTTTCATCATGTCTAGATTCGTCAAAACAGATAGAAAATATATTCAAAGGAGTAAGCAATCGACAAACAATTATATTTGTATATAAAAGCTTAAAAATTACAATCAATTTGTTTATAATCTTTCGAATAATGTTCAGTTTAAACAGCATTTATAGAAGTTTTACTAGTAATTTTTTAGTTAAATTATTGTTGATTTCTGAGCTAACGAACACATGTACAATACTTCGGTTTAGGTGTCATATCACCAATTTAAAAACCCCTATATATTCAACCTTTTTTTCAAATTTCACAGCCCTCTAAATATTTTACCTCAAGCTTAAATACAGGTTATATCATAAACTGTACAGGTATCATCTTTCTATATGCCTTTTTTCAACCAATGTTTAAAACTTGTAGTGGTACATGACGTTCCAGAAGTCACAAGTAAATTTTGACTCAAAATGGTCTATATGTATTTCTCATTCAGCAAAGGTTCATCTATGCAAATTTAGTTGCTAGTTAAAATAAACAGCAGCAACACAATGTTTTGTCAGAACAGGGCTATCCTTTCAATGTACTAAAGAGTAAAATAACAAAATACCGAAACTCCAAGGAAAATTCAAAACGGAAAGTCCTTTATCAAAAGGCAAAATCAAAAGCTTCAAATGGAAAACAACTGTCATATTCCTGACTTGGTACAGGCATTTCCTTGTGTAGAAAATGGTGGTTTAAACCTGGTTTTATAGCTAGCTAAACCTCTCACTTATATGACAGTCGCATAGAATTCCACTATATTGACAACAATGTGTGAGCAAAACAAACAGACATAATAGGTAAAAATGTCAAAATTGGTACTGCAGTCAACATTGTGTTATAATCTTAATCCTTATAAAAACAAATAACTATTTAAACAAAGAAAAACAAAATGACATAAAGACAATCTATAGAAGAA